GGTATTTTTATACAACAAGTGAGAGTAAAAGAACAAAATATTAGTTCCGGCTCTTACGTAATGATCTCAGCAACTGTCACAGCAGCAAACACGAGAAACAAAACTCCTCCGACATAAGCTATTGCCTGTTTTGAACCATACAACATTTAAAATCCTTACGTGTTAAGAATTCTCTCTCACACAAAAACTTCAATAAATACAAAATTAAAAGAACACCCCAAAAATCAGTTTTTACAAAGTTTTCTTATTAAAAAGCAAGATATTTTTGGAAGAGTTATTATGATAATAGTAGTTTAAATTTTAAGATCAATATTTTTCTGAACTTAAAAAAGAAGAGAAATAATACCTAAATCCAAGAAACTAAACTCTAAACTTTGCAACTTAACCCCAAAAATCTATATTATTAACCTTAAAATCAAAATAAAATGGTGTATTTCTCTAATTTATAATGATTCAACTTTTTTTTAATTTACAAATTTTGTTTTTCGTTTTAGTTTCATTTGTTTGGGAATAAATATCGAGTTGTTGACAGATCGGATCGGACACAGAAAAGAATAAAAAGCAATAAAAGATGTTACTTTGACTCTTTTTTTGGGGGAGGAATAGATACCAAATGATGTGGAAGACTTGAGATCAGTGAACATTGAAGCTTATTGTTGCCACTTGCCATAGAATAAAAACCTTAATCTCTCACTTTTCTTTCTATCAAGTTATATCTTAGAACAAAATGATGAGATTAAAAAGAGATCCTTTGTTGACTAAAACAATACTCAAAAGATGTTTTTGGTTACTAAACAAAAAAAGAAAATAAAACTAAGGATAGAATCTGGTTTTTGTGTAATAAAAGCTGAATATTTCCAAGGATATGCTTACATTTAGTATATTCACCCTCCATTTCATGATAATTTAAGGACATAGATTTGTTTCATTAAATAATGTTTTCAATCAAGATTTTAAATTCAAATTCTATTATTAATTAGATGTGTAAGAAAAATTAAAATCTGACATGTTAATGAAAAGAGGGAGTACTTCTTCAAGCACTTTCATGAAAATGATTTCTAAAATTAAGTTG